TCTATCTACAACATTATTATCATTAAAATATAAATAATAAGAAAAATTCTAAATTTATTTTAATGGAAATACGCATATGTACTGTATTTAATTAAGCATTATGTACCAATAAATTAACTAAAATTAATATATCTTTTAATTCATATTTACTTATAATTTAATACATTCTTTGTTTACCATTATTAATTATAAATTTAAGTATTACTAACTCTTAATTTAATTATAATATTCCTAAATCTATTAACAATATTTTAATACAAATAAAATTTAAACATAATAAATTACACATATAATAAATTTTATGTTTATTTAATTTATTTATCCATATTAATTTATTATAATTATCATTAATTTTCTATTTACAACATTATTATCATTAAATACAAATAAAAATTATCAAAATATACAAATAATAAGACGAATTCTAAATTATTTTAATGTAAATACACGTATACACCCTATTTAAGTCAAATACCAGTGAATTAATTAAAATTAAAATATTTTGTAATTCATATTCACTTATATTTTAAAACTTCCTTTTTTACCATTATTAATTTTAAATTTAAGTATTAATAATTCTTTATTTAATTATTATATTCCTAAATCTATTAACAATATTTTTAATATAAAGAAAATTTAAATATGATAAATTAAAATATAATCAATTTTGTGTTTATTTAATATATTTATATATATATATATATATATTAATTTACTATGATTATCATTAAATTTCTATCTATAATATTGTTATCATTAAATACAAATAATAAGATTATGTATCAATCGCATTTGTGAACAAAATAACTTTTTTTCTGCCATAAATTTTCCCTTCCAAGCAGGTGGATGTGGCATTAAAAAATCTACATAAAATTTCAATTTGACATAGCTTTTTAAAGTTAACATATGTTAATTGTATGTGCTTCCAGAAAAAGAATATATCAGAAAATATATCTTTAAGTCATTTTTTTTTCATTTGTTTTATGTCATTTTCTGAAACAGTTCTTTACTTTTTACTTTTATGGATGAAGAGAATTTATAATATGGATTTGCACCTCCCAACAGCCTATGAGGAAAGGAAAAATACACACAACAAAAGACCAATGAAAGGGATAAGATCATCGCACTCCATTCTATAATAAGAACTTCTTCAACTTTTATACAAAGAAAGAAACAAACATCTTTGACTTAAGCTATAAAGGTTCTGGCCTTTCGGATATCGCTATTTTCTTTTCTAGCTATTGAAGCTCATCACGGGGTTTCATAAAAAAATAATTATCCAAATCCACTTAAACACAACAAATTAAATTCACTTTTTTCCTTAATATCCAACTTTATATGATTAACCTTAAAATCAATTATCTAAATTAACATGCTAATTTTTATTTAATTTATATTGAATTGGGTTGTTCGAGTCTGCTAAACCCACGATTATCACTAAATTCTATCAACTATGGACTCAAAGGCAATTTATTTATCGAGTAAAATATACCATATTATTGCATATATAGGTAAGTTTTACCCGTTTTCTTATTTACAAACCTCTGTAAATTGTGAAACTGTAAAATTAAATTTTGTATTTAACACGGAGCTACATTGTCTTATGCATGTCACTTGAGGTTGGTAAACATGATACAACAAGACTATTATAATAATTGAATAAACTTAATGAACATGCACAGAAGCATATCCTCGACAGGAAGAAAATGTATCCATTAAATGAGTATAAATTTAGGTATCGATGTTTAGCTACAAAATTTTACAGAAATGTACGTAAATTAATTTAGGTGTATACTTTATACCCATTCAACCCATGCTCGCATATATAATTTTAATTGTTTGTTCAATCACCCATTATGTTTTGAATTAGTATGTATAATATTTTTATTTGATTTGGGTGCATTTTTAATTTTATTTTATTTTATTGATTTTTATTGTAAATATAATATTAAAATAGTATTTTTGTTTTATTAGTTCATTACAATTTTAAAAATACATTTTTTAACAAAAATGCATTTAATGGATTAAAATCTAAGCATATAAATATTCAAAAAGTATGAAGATAGATATTGAAATTATAATTCATGTGAATATAGATCAGGAGATGAGTCAATTTCAAAAAACAAATATTTAATATTTTATTTATTGTCAAAGCAAAATTTATCGGTAAATGTTATGAGTGTTTCTAATGGATCTAAATGTCCTTGACAATCTCAAACTTTCCCAAGATTCAAGATAGTTACACGAAAATCCATTGTTTTGGTTCAGTGTTATGCGTACCAAATTAATGTTTTTGCAAAATTAAGAATTAAGTGACAAAATTCGAAACTTCTAGTAAAGTAAGCTACAAAACGAGATGCAATCATTCTAAACCAAAGCTCTATTAATTACAAGCCCCGTGAGGAAGGGGGTAAGTTTATGCAATCATTCTAAATGCAAGCAAATGTTGTTGTGATTAGAGATTCAACTTAATGGTTTTTGAAAAAACGTATACACAATGTTTGTTCAATTGATTGTGTAATCAGGGTTTAACAATACTGCACACATGATATACCCTTTTAATAGTAAAATTATAATTTTATAGCACTTGCATTTAGGGTCCACACAGATTTCAATGTACACAAGTATATTTGATGGAATGGCTTTGGTCTTGGGGTGCATGATGAAGAGGGCACTTAGGAAGTGACAATGGACAATACCTTTTTCTGGGGAAAAAGAAAATCTAGTAGCCTACAACACAGGGAATGCATCCTTATACAATCATGCAACACTAAACTTTAGTTGGATGAAACTTTCAGACTTTGATGCCACGGTTCTGACTTAGACTAATACTAGCCAAGCAATACAATATGCATTATTGATTTACCTTTATATACACATACTTAACTGTGAATATTAGAAACTTGATCACCCCATATGATTAGAGGTCCATGAATATTAGTCTTGAATGAGATACATTTGTTTTTTGTTACATGATTTCTAAAATTCTTATATTCAATCCCCTTAATTTCATAGGTCTATAACTTTGTTTTATTGCTTTTTCTTCTATTTTCACCATGTCTCTCCAAACCAAATACTCTCAATGTCTTTGTATAATTTAAGAAAATAAAAGCTGATCATGAAATAAGAATATAGTGCATTAATATAGATATTGTTGTGTGAATAACCAATCGAAACTAATAATCTTTGATTGCAGAAAAAATTTTCAGAACGCACCCAAAATATTACCCTACTTTAAGGTTATTATTCTAGATAATTACAGATTTTCTCATTTCACATTATTTAAGAAGAATGGGTATTGACTTTTCTTCTCTTGTAACGTGAAAATTCAAAATCTATCAAGGCAATATGGTGTCTATTCTTTTTCCAGTTTCAATTAGTAATAATTCATTTTTCCTATACCTCTTCCTTAAATTAAGTGAGACAACATTTTCATAGGTCTGCTTTGCGTCAACCATAGAGGGGGAGGGGCAATCATATTCTATACATTCCCCATTCCTAAACATTTTAGTAGTAATTAATAGACTAATAACAGAAACACAGTATAAAATCAGAAGTTATAAGATACATCTACTTTTTTTTTTTTTATAACAATATGCTAGCAAACAATACTTTTAGATGTATTCTAAAAAATTAAAATTGTAAATTATTAATGTATTTCTTTTAAAAATATTTGGTGCATATTAACATTATAGGTTGTAACATATATTTATTCATTTAAATATATTAATAAGTTGTACTGTAATTTTTTTTTTGTTATAAACTACACCTTTAATATATTTAAAAATGATTAAAACTATAATTTATCAACAAACTTGTCAAATCCTGCAAAGTTATATTTCTCTCATAAAATTGAAAAAAAAAAAAACCTTAATGGAAGTCAATTTGGATCAATCGTGCACTTTTTTTATATCTCCAGGATTTAGTTTTTCGTGGCAAAGTATAAATTTTAGTCGTACAAAACTTTAATTAATAATGCGTTGTCAAAGGCTCACCCAACCCCTGACAATTTCAATTGAGGTTCCTCACTGGGCCCATTCACGGCTGGCTCTACAGTAGCCAGTAACAACAATTTAGAGTTCAATTAATTGCATTAAATAAGTTTTAAGCCACGTTGCCTTAAATCAATTTTTTACATTGCAAATTTTATAGATTTTAAACTTCCTTTATGTTTTATTTTCATTTGTTTAGCAAAAATGTAGAACCGATCAATCTTTTCAGGTTTATCTTTGGTTTGGTAATGTTAATTTAAAGTCACTAGAAGATTTTATATTTAAAAATTCAATAAGTAAAGACTATAATAAAAATCGATTAAGCTTAAATCCAAAAATAATCATATAATCCAACAAATCTGTGACATCTGTTGAGTTGATTTCAATGCTGGTTAAAGAAAAATTCATAAACAAAAACAGAAAAAAAAAGTCAGAGAAAAGAAAAAGTAACATAACAGAGAAAGTGAGAAACTTCATGCCGGTTTTTCATCAAATATTTTCATAGTTATATATTCCACTAGGAAGCAAAAGGGTTCCATCTTTGGTTATAGGGCAGAAGATAAAAGTGAAAATTAAAATTACACGTTCTACAATTTCGGCTTCTAAAAGCCCAATTTTATGAAGGTGATCCATGATTGCTTCAAACCAAAATGAATAAAGAAACAAAGTACCCAATAAAAAAAAAAAATCAGTTGCAACGCCGCCCAAGAAATTAATTAAGAAGAGGGATGAATATGAGTACAATTAATAAATGGAAGCAATAAATAAACTAACCGCAAAAAGGAAGAAAGAATAAGAATGTGTCACACTGTCATGTCATGTGTGTAACAGTGCATCCCAGCATCTATGCTACATACTATGTACCCTTCAAATGGTCAATTGTTGGGGTCAATAGGCATAGCATATATGTACTTGACCAAATGCCACGTTAACCTCATAATCTCTCTCCATCACATGTCTGAGAAAATATAAAATTCAATGAATTCTTGTGTATCAGAATCTGAAATTGAGAAAAAAGGAAAAGTGAAAAATAAAATGGTAATAGCTGAACATATCTGCAAGTGGCACCACCTTTGGCTTTAGTGGAGTCACATAGCTATCATGCGCACCAGCTCATGAGTCTTATGTCTATCTTCCCTCTATTTTTCTCTATCCATGTTGGAATGGTTTGGGTACACTCTTGGCCCAGAAAATGCAGAAATAAGCAAGTGGGTCCCACGGGAGCATCCTGATTTTTAGGTGTGAAGTGAAGAAATTAAGAAAACATAAACTCCTTCTCTCCTCCATGTACTAGATTTTCAACCCCGTGTTCGTGCTTCCACTGTGTCACTGTTGTTTTGGCTTTGTTTAGTTAGTTTTGTTTTGGTTTCTCTCTCTCTCTAGAATGTTGTCAAATACAATACAGTTGCACCCTTTTCTTGAAAGATTATAAAACAGATTTTTTGGAACCTTGTGTTATCATTACTTGTGGTGCTTGTTGTGTGCTGATCTCGGCTTCCCGTGTGCTGACTTCGTTTTCTTCACCTTTCTTTGTTGTTTCTGAATATTTACTAGTTCTCCACTTGGGTTCATTGCCTGTTCTTTCCTTTGTTTTTTGGGGGGTTAAAAAGCTCAAATTTTGAGGATTGGAAGAGTGTTGGTGAGTGAAAAATCAGCTACTTCCTTTCAGCCTGCTACTGGGTTTGTGCTCATTTCTTTGAGGTGTTCTTGGCTCTTCCCGGATCCAGGTTTATCTGGTAATAAAAAAGGATTATTATTATCATTATTATTTTCCTTGTGTTTGTTTTTTGGCCCTTTCTGTATTGAATTTGTTTATTTGTAACTGGAACTCTTTTCCGTTTGTATGGATTTGGTTTCAGTTTATTTCTGTTATAAGGCGTTGCTCTTTTCTTCATCTTCACTTATTTTAAGGCCTTTTTTGTGGTTTAGTATCAAATATTAGTGAAGTGTATTTGGTTTATTATAACCAAGTGAACTATTGATTAAATTAAATCATGGAATTGTTCGTTATCTGAGTTTCAATATGCAAGGAATTTTACTTAAATAATTAATATGTGAGCAATTTGTTCTCCAAATTATTGTTCTTTATTAAGATTCCATGAACATGTCAGTCTGCAATCTGTATGTATATTATGGATTGCAGGTTCCTTCGTTTGCATATCTCTTTTTGTCCTTTGTGTTTAATTGAAATGTTCAACAGTTGCATGTCGTGATATCTAGAAGACTTGTATAAATTTTGGTTTTCATTGGGATTAGATAAGTGACCCTTTAGGCAAAACTGCTACCTTCAGATTCAATATTTTGCGAATAATTTTATTTTTGGTTCGTTACCTTTGTTTTGTGTTTTTTCAGTTTATTGATCATATGATTCGTAGGTTTTCGTCAAAGGAAGATGACTGGGAGAGAAAGTTCTGACAATTAATCCTGAATAGTAGAGGTAGAAGATGGAAAATACAGGCTTATGGATTCAGAAAGAGGGCCACAGAAAAAACGATTCATTGCATGGCTTGTTGAATGATAGGGAAACAGCAGATGAAGACTATTCAAAATCACAGTTAAAGAAATTGATGACTAAAAGGTCAAACTCTCATCGAGCAATAGTTGTAAATGCTATTCAATCACAAATCAGTAAGGTTTTCTTCAAGGATTTATTCTTTCGTCGTGTCCATGGACTAGACAATAGGATTCCAAAGCATGTGGTGAGTGTGGATGAGAAATATATGCGTCGCTGCCTAGAATTTGTGCATAACACTGCATTAAAAGCAGCTCAATGCAACATACCTGTGAGCTTAAGAGCAACAAACATGGAAACTTTATCAGAAAGCTTGAATACCGCTAAGTTTTTTGGTGGAAATGCATGTGGTTCAGGACATTTTGTCTTTGAATGTCCTGTAGACTCTGAAACTGGGAGTGTAGTGATAAGTGCTAATGGTGGAGAACAGTGGAGTTTGGGTACAATAATGGGGAGCAAGAGTATGATAAATATATTGAATAGTGCTCTGCTTCAGCAGTTTGGTGCTTCAGATAGAAGTGACAATTTGAACAGGATGAACTTCTCTGATGCTAAAGGATTGATATGTTATGATTTTGTGGACTCTCCAAGTAGTTTAAATATCTCTTCATCCTATAAACTCGAAAAGGGAAAACATTCAGGGCAAGATCATATGTATGGATCCGTTTCTGTCCATAAAAGGCTTGTTTCCACTTCTAGCACCACCTCTACTTGTTCTGATTGGTTGTCTTCGGCTTATTCTACTCTATCTCAGGGAATGATCCAATGTACATGGAAGCAAGGTATTCCTCATTTTGTTTTTTCTGCAGATGATCAGAAGGAGGTCTATGTAGCAGAACTGAGGAAGGTAGATTCAGAGGATGATAAGGCTTTGGACTATGCGTACCAGTTTCACTTGAACAAGGGTGGTCCAAAAAGTCATGAGATTCCCAAGAGTGATTTGCAGCTTGTTGGGAAGATGCATGTATCGACAAGTTTCACCCTTTGCAAAAACAATTGTAGGATAATGGAGACAGAGTTTACATTATTCCAAAACATTGAAATTTATGACAAAGAAATGTGCACGTCAGAACACTCTCACAGGAAGAACAAGGGATTGTCAAAGAAGGTGTCACAAGTTTTCAGAACTAGCCCATCATCAAAACGCAGAACACACTCGAAGTTTAGCGGATCAAGTGCTGTGACGGAGAGTTGTCTGTGGGAGCCACATGGTCTTGGTGGGGTCAATTTATTAGAGACTGATGTTCCTCCAAATTTTGAGATGGCTGCAATTGTTGTGAAAGACCATCTTCCTTGTAAAAAACCTGAGAAAGTTGGAGGCTGGGGTTTAAAATTTCTTAACAAATCTGGAGTAAATCAAATCGCATTGCCTTCTGAAAGTTGTAATCAAAATAATGGTGACTGCTCAACAAGCACGAGCATTCTAATTCCAGCGGGCCTTCATGGTGGGCCAAGAACCAGAAATGGTGGCCCGTCGAGTCTGATAGAAAGATGGAGATCTGGGGGCCACTGTGACTGTGGTGGTTGGGATGAGGGATGCCCTCTGACAGTACTTCAGAGAAGATTTAACAAAGCAGAGGTTATGTCTCAAGTAGATACACAAGGCCATTGCAAGTCAGTTGAACTAGTCACTCAGGTCTGTTTATATCCCATATTCTATTACTCTTCTTTCTCTACTATCTTTAAACAATGTTTGTGATCTCATATACCCTTTAAATAATGTGGAGCAAAGAGTATGTGAACCGTAAATATTGATTTTTGCTAAATGCATATTCCTCAAATTATCAAATTCTTTTACTTTGAGTGTCTTCACATTTGATCTCTCTGGATAGGGTTGACCATATGGATATTGAACAACGTTGGGCTTATTGGAAACCACATTATTAGTTTTTTTCCACCATACAGTTTTCCTCTACCATTTGATGATAGGGAAATGATTTTGTTCATTGCTAGGTTTGATGGTCTCCAAGGCTTAAATATAATAATTCCATAATCTTTTTGTGACTCTGAAATATATTCAACATCAATCTTCCTCTCAAGTTTAAGCCAGTTTTACTGTTATAAGACATCCATGCATCTATAATATTGCATCACTTTGTGTGTTTACTAAGCAATTGACAGTTATTTATGTAAGTATGCAATGAGATGACTGTACCCCTCAAATTTCAGGGTTCAAGGGATTTCAGCCCCACCTTGAGGATGGTAAATGTTCATGATGGTCTATATTATATACATTTTCATCCACCTCTGTCTGCCCTACAGTCTTTCTCCATTGCCGTGGCAATAATTCATGCGCAAAGTCCTGCTCTTCGGCCCAACAGTGCACAGGAGCTGTCATGTTAAAAGTAAAAATTGAGGTTATTTAGCAGTATAATTCTATTACTGTATTATAAAAGCAAATGAAAAGAAGATTTAGGTTTTTATACGTGAATTGGGTTTTCATTCTATGTTTAGGGTTGTTATTTTTCATACTGCCAGATGTTATCTTATTTAGGAGAACTAGCTCTCTTTGTCCTTTTTCACAATTCATAGTTTGTAATCATCTTTTTCCTCATTTTTTTTGTTGAAGAGGATAGAATGTAGAAGGGTTTTCTGAAGGAAATTTGGAAAATTGTAGCATTGAGATTGGATTTGTTACAATTGTTAATGAGAAGGAAGTAAATTTAGCATTCAATCTGAAAAATAGCTATTTGAAAATTGCTTTTGAATAATGGATCATTCTCTTTACAATTTGGTATGAAGAATATTGGAGATCTTGCTTCTTTGAATTTCTCTTGGCAAATGAATTATGGTAGTTCCCATTTTTCTGATTGGAAACTCTGCATCATTTCACCGCAAGTTGCAGCATGATCCAATTGCTACTCCTATGACAACAGCACATGTTGCATGTAGCATCTGATAGACAACTGAAAGTGTTCTCTCTCAATGGCCACTTGTATGTGGATAATTTTTATTTACTATATTCCAACTTAAATTTTGAGCTAAAATGCTGACATGCTTCCCTTTCAATTTGTTTGAAGTTCACATTGACTACAGATATGGTCACATAAAAGCTTATAAAAGTTAAAGTAATCCTTGCTTTATGAGCTAATTTTTAGGGTTGACTTAGGTTTAAGCTTAAATTTAAGATTGTATTAGAGTTTAAGATTGTATTAGAGTCTATCGTAGATTTGATATTGGACCATTCTTTATATAGAAAAAAAGATCATGCCATCACAGAATTTTTTAGTACAAATAATTCTCACTTTACAAGGTAACTTTTAAGATTGAGTTAGACATAAAGTTCAAATTTAAGACAACTGAATGTTCAGTGTCACATGAATGACTCCATGCACATTTTATCTATATCTAACAGTTCTTTTCCATAAACTTATTTTTGATCTGACCAAGCATGGAGAGTTCACATCAGGCCATCTCTACAAGGTAAAAGCTTGACATCTTCTGTAGAATTTGATTAATATTACCATGATTATCTAATTTCTACTTTCTAGTGGGTGGTGACAAAAAGTATTAATAAAAAAGATCCTGCTTAGTCACCATGTATATTAAAAAGAAAGGGTACAAAAAGATGTGATGCGTGATCTGATGACTGATAAATTATTATGTCAAGTAAAAAGGTTGATCTTATTTTGTTGTGACCGTGGTTGTTTCTTTGTTTCCGTGTGTTACGTTTTCACTTTGCGAACAACTATCTTCTTGCATTCTCTTCATTTTAATCGTTACTTTCTAGCATACTCTTCTGTCCACTTTGTTTAAAATGTGCAAATGCAGAATTAAATAATTCGGTGGAATGAATCCCCCCTCCCCTGAAAGTGTTTTTTTTATAATTCTTATTCTTTACTAGACTCTACATTACACACATTCAAAATAATTTTTTTTTTGTGTACAGTAATATGATTTACTTTATATTTTAGCATGAGAATATGATAATAAGATTGATTTTGCCAGCGGTCGTGCTGCTGTGATCAAATGCCTGTTGTCATTGATTTCGTGTCACCATGTTTGCATTCTAGTACTCTTGTGGTTCCCCCCTTTGGAGCTTTTAAGAATCAAATGTTATCATAAGAAGCCAATTAATAAATCTATAATATTTAGGGAGCATTTGAATAAAAAAAAAACTTTTATAAGGCTTATTAGAGTGTATAAAAGTAATTTTAGGCTCTATTAAGCTCTTTTTTTAAAAAAAAAATTATTGTTATAAGTTTTATCGTTAATTTTATTATACGGTAAGAGTTTAATAAATAAAAGCAAGACAATGTAAATTCTTAGCTACTCCTTTCAAAGATCTTTTTCAACTATTTGTAAGTTTATCAATTTTGTATTCAATAAGTATTTTCATGTTTGAATATGAAGTCAAAGCAGGAAGGGAAAGAAGAAAAGGTATTTGAACTTGACAGTTATGCAAGATGAAATTACAAAATTTATCAAGTAATAGGAATATGTTGTAAAGTTTTATTTATACTTCCCTTATTATTTAAAATTAACAATTTTGTCATTATACACGCAAATTATTGACAAATTTTTAATATCGAAGGTCAACACATGAGGAGCAACCCTACAAACCAGCATTTGAAACCACGTTATTGCCAATCATGATTTTGTTGTGTTTACCTGTAGGATTTAAATGATATTTAAGAAACTTAACTAAGACTTTGTTAGAAGTTCTTAGTTGGTGCTTAGATGAGATGATGATGATGCCTTCAATTAAACCTGCAACTGAGGTGTTTGATTGCTATGTGGTCATGTAACTTGAAATACCAAAACCCGTGTCAGGATTAAAGTGGTAATATGCATCCTTTGGTCCTTCCTCCAATAATCAATTGTTCCAAATAATCGTTTGATAATAATTAGTTTTTATTTTAAAGATTAAATAAAAATAAAATTTTGTTAATCTCAGCTTTAGGAGCTGAGAATAAACAGTTAATAATATTAAAATTTAATTAAAAAAATATTTATTATATTTTTATAATTTTAATACAATAACTGTGTTTTTTTTTATAAATTTTTTTTTATTTATAAATACTTAAACTTAGCTCTAAAGATTGAAATCAACAAAACCCATAAAAATAATATCACTTTGATCGATTAATTTAATGTCTTGAAAATATTAACATAATATATTTATAATTTTAATATTAATATTATGGTGCCTAAATTATTAAAAGATTACTACTAAATAATTTTAGTTAAAATTTTAATTTGTAGTTTTTTATAAATACAGGGTTAATATGATGTACTTATAAAATATATATTAATTCTAAAATATAGCATGTGGCATGAATCTATTATAAACGAAAAAAAAAACTAACATCTACATATTATGCAATGTGAATTGCAATAAAAACTTGTTGGCAACTCTATCATCATCGTCCTCATCACTGGACTCAGTCCTCACGAGTTATTTTAAGTCTTGATTAGTTAAGTTGAGTGAGACTGATTCCCTGAATACAGCAAAGCTTTTCGCTTACAAACACCTTTCTATACCCAATTAATAATTTAAGAATATAGTTTCACGATAATTATAATACTAAGACTAAATTAAGATTTAAAATATAACCACTAAACTTATTTTTGGCACGTAACTTTTTAATATTTAAATAAAGTTAAAAATGTTAAATTATTATCTTATGACTCTACTACAAATACGCCTTCTCATACTTTTTAATACACTAACTATTAATTAAAATTATAAAAGTATAAAAGAAAAGAGTTAATTTAAGAAAAAGAAAGGATGAATCTTTCATGTAATTTGTGTAATTTTTAATAAATTTAACTAATAGTCGTGTTAAAAAAATATATTATATAATAAAATACGTGATTCAACAGATAAACCCATATGTGAGAGGGAATGCAAGCATGTTATTTTTGTCATCTTATATACAAATTTGTGGTTTTCAGACGCATCTTATAGGCACGTCTCTCCTCATAATAGACATTTCCTTTAATTTAAGGTTTTTGGTTTTTGGTTTTTGCCAATCATGACAGCAGTGATGGTCATGGTGTTGCACATGAAGGCTTGTTTCAACTACGTAGCCTCAGACCCATGTGACCTGGTCTCAATCTGGATCTACTGCAAGCATAAAAGAAATATTTGGGTCCATCTATTTCCCACAATCCATTCTCCATATCTACTTTCAAGCTCTTTTTTGTCAAGAAAGAAATGGGAAGAGTACTTGGTTGCTGTTTGGGTTTCTTATGCTTTTTGGTTCCTTTGACAGTTGCAGACTGGAACATACTAAATCAGAAGACACGTAATGGATTGAAGATCAGCTTGAACAACTACTGTGAAAGTTGGAGAATGAATGTTGAGCTGCATAACATTAGAGACTTCAAAGTTGTGCCAGAAGAATGCACTGAATACATTGGAAAATATCTCAGGTCGACTCAATACAAAGTGGACTCAGAAAGGGCAACTGAAGAATGCTTGGTTTATCTTAGCACCAGCTGCAATCTGAAGAAAGATGGCAAAGATGCTTGGATATTTGACATTGATGATACTTTGCTTTCTACATTTCCTTTCTACAAGGATAATCTATACGGGTATCTCAATATATCATCATATAAAATCCTTTTATGCATGTTGCTCAACCCCAAAATCACTGATCACTCTTATCTTTCCCTCCACTTTGTTTTCTTCTCTTGAAGTTAATATTCTGACTAGTGTGCCTTTTTATTGATAATAGGGGAAAGAATATCAATGTGACAGCTTTGGAGGAATGGATGAGCAAGGGTAATGCTCCTGCTCTTGACTACTCACTGAGACTCTTCAATGACCTTAAATCCAGAGGAATTCAGATCATTTTGATTTCTGCAAGGAGGAAGCATCTTAGATCAGCTACAACTGACAACCTTGTCAAGGTTGGTTATCATGGGTGGACTAGTCTTGTCTTGAGGTTAGTTCGATTCAACTTTTTCTCCGACTCGGATCCTCTGCATTCAAAAGTCCTGCATTCATCGTTCAATGGTATACATATATATAATTCTCCTACTGCAGAGGATCCATACTCCTCTTTCGCTAGTGATCTCTTACTATTGTTTCCCCTTTGTTCCTCATTATCTGACTGAATCGTTTTTACCTCTATGCAGGGGACCTGCTGATGAAATAAAATCAGTGGAACAGTACAAGTCTGATGTGAGAAAACAGTTAATCAATAACGGTTATCGCATTTGGGGAATTTTATGTGACCAACACAGCAGCATTAAGGGAACCCCTAGCGGCAGAAGAGCATTTAAACTTCCGAATCCAATGTACTACGTTGCCTAAAATCCTCTCTTGCACCTGCACCAATTTCCCATTTTAAACTTTAAAAAATTGCACTATTGTTTATGGAATAAATTCTCCATTAAGCAGAAGTCAGCCGGCTGAACTTTGCAAATCTGATATCAGATTAGTTGCAAATCGCAATACTATGCCTTTGATTTTGGAAGGGTCTCATGCTCAATGATTTTTTTTTCCTACACAAAAATTTGAAATCACTGGTAAATTATTTCGCTGTTGAAGTACCAAATATCAGTCTGAAAAAACTGTCAACTTCGATTAACAAGGGACGGCAAGTGAAGTATACGTCTTTTTCAGTTTCACGTTCAGGCTTATGTCCATCTTTCTTTGCAAGATGCACAATTTTTTTCGTTTATTTTCAAGTTTCCGATTCGTTTTTACTGTGTTGGATTAGAACCATATCGCAATTGGTTTGGAACAACGTTGTAGATATTATATTCTGTAGAGATTATATTTTAAACACTTCATTTTCTATTTTATTATTTGAGAAGTGTTGTAAGAATCATGCTTGGTGTGTAAATGTATCATCTATTAACAGCCACAGTTAAATTTCATGTGCACTTTTCTTGAAGGGGAATAAAAGAGGCTGCTGAGAGGAGTTGAAGATCATATTTGCACAGAAGCATAACATTAGTTTGGTACTAGTTTATGATCGAGTGAGAGAGAACAATCCGTATACAGACCTAAACTTGTAACGGGTATTATCAACATCAGCAAGAAATGCGGGATTTCAGTAGTGAATATAATAAAACGGTACCTGATTCCAGTACTTTATCACTTTCTCAAAACAAAATGCAACTCTCTATAATGAACACTTGTGGGATAGATTTTCAGAGCAAATTTACTCAGAGAGATGTCAGTGTGTTTAGCTTGCTATAGTTGCTTTACGTTGACAGTGAGCAAACAATCTAATAAAATAGTCAATAAGAACTTTTATGCGAGACCTTATGTCAAACACTGGAGAGTTGAGCACTTTCGTAAGCTTCAGCATGATGCTTATTGATGTATGTAATATATATATATATATATATATATACGAACTGTCATCTAAAACTGGAGAGCAGATCCAACTCCTCGATTTAGTTCTACCAAGTATTCGTGAATATGCATTGTAATTACAGAAGGATATTTAACGTGATGTATATTAGCCAAGATTCACCAACTGATGGTATTGATCAATTTAATACAATTTCAAAATTGAAAATTCACATCAATCAAGTTTAATTAATTTGAATACACTATGCCTCTAGACTTTACGGAAGCAGCAAGAGTAATAATTTTTTTGCCCAAACCAACAATTTTAAAATGAGACCTTTCTTTCAAAACCTATTGATTCTAGCCCTAAATAGTAGAAATAACAGGGCAATTGAAGAAATTGTGCATTCTTTTGTCCAATTATTGGTGGGGAAAAGATGGCAAAATATAAGCATGAAATTATTTCTCTATATTCAGTTTTGACTAAATTATTAATAAGCATAGTGCTTCTGAATTTCCAAGTGGTTAATAAGGAGACAAAGTGTACGCTTGTAAACCAAGAAGAGGTTCATATGTAATGTTTTAGAGTGATTTTGAAATTCACCCTTTTCATATTCCACCATCCTCCACAAAGCTTCCAAATGTCATGCCCCAATAAGGCAGGAAAAGAAAGAAGCATTTAAATTCTATTTAAATAAATGAACTAGAACCTAATTGAATAAAAAACCCAACTGCATTTCCATAGAATTTTCTGTAAAATTCGTTAAAATGACGAAACAAAAAGCACTTAACCATCAATCCAAAATTCAGTATACACACACGTGAACAAATCCAACTGCTACGAGGATTGTGAAGAGAGTTTGAGGCATTCACTCTGACACCTCCTAAGGCATATGTCATTCCAATTAGGAACTTGGTGTTGGTTAACACAAACAGTGCGTGCACACGCATCAGCACACGCATCAAGATCAGAAACACCACACACAGTGACACAGGTATCAGGAATTGGATCTTTGGAGAAAGAACCAACCTTTTTGAGCATTCTCTTGGATGTGCAAACCCTTTCACACACAAAGATTTCGTCGGAACTCCTTTCCCTACCTCTTGCGCTCTTCAACCTCTGCTCTTCCGCACGCCTTTTCTTAACCCTAAAAGCTTGTCCTGCAACAACAACAGGGATCGCAGCCCCCAAAAGGGACCACCAAATCTCCCCCATTTCTGAAACACAATTTTCTTCTAGTTCATATGCTGCACAATTTAATGGAACCAAAGACCAATTACGAAATTTCTAGTTTGAATTTTAATCAAGACTGTACACATAATGGGTAAACCCTAGCACCCTATACGCACACACATTCCAAAAAATAACAAATAAATAAATGGAAAAAAGCATGCAATGCAGGCACGAATTTGTGTCTCAAATTCTTCAAAGCGAATAAGAGAGGAATTGAAGTGTTACCCGCGGCGTAGTTCGTAGCTGCAGTTCTGCGAAGGTAGCTCTACAGCATAAAACCCTCGCCAACGACTAACAGCCAGCTTTTTTTATTTAAATAATGTTTTTTAAAACATAAATTACTAAATTATAATTTTTTAAAACTAATAATTATAAAATATTTAAATATATTACTAATACTAAGTAACATTATAAAACATTAAATATTTTTCTTGGCTCCTTTGGCAGTCCACACCAATTTTTTTCTTATTTTTGTAATGGACAGTTTCACCATTTATTTGGCGAAACTTTTTTTTTTTCATTTTTTTAAATAAATAATTTTATCATAATTACAAAATTTATAATATTTTGATTATAATTTTTATAAATTTCGTATTTTTTGTGTTGAAACTTAATTTAAAAAATAAAAAAATTATATACTTTACATTTTTAGTAGTAATATTTATTTTTAAAATTTAAAATAAAAATTTTACCAACGCTCACGACAAAACTTATTACATATGCTAAAATCATTCTAAACAAAAAAAATAATTTTAAAAAAATTATAATTTACTAATTCATTTTTTAAAAACATTATTTAAATAAAAAAATCGTTATAACCAAACAAGTATTTAAATTCTTTTGAAAAAAAGGGAAAAAATATTCCTTAGCTTGTCTTTTTTTTCCTAGAAAAGTAAGGTAATAAATTGTATTTTACTTGAAAATTTGAAATTTTAGTACATCTGTATTAATAAAGATGAGATTAAAAGTATCAAAAAATAAAAATGATGAATATAGTTAATTTTTATTTATATTTTTAAAATCTGAATTGTAGTAGAAGATAACCTTGAAGGTAAGAGATGCTTGTGCTATTTTGGAAAATCAGGCCGCATACATGTGTTCTTTTAACTAACAAATTGATTGATTATTAGTATTGGTTCTATTTGAAGGCCCAATCTATCACAATGCAAATCTGCATAGCCTCTGGATTAAGAAAACTGGACCCTCTAATAACAGTATCCAATCTCAATACAATTAATATTTTTAATTTCATAAAAAATATACAAAAAAGAAGTTATTAATTTCTATTGTATAACCACAATCACAATGAAAAAAGATTAAAAAACGAGTAATCTAAATGAATAAAACACATTAGTAGCATTTCACACAGGAGGAAAAGGACTACATTACATGAACATGAATATTGGACATGGAACATTTTTTTACTACACGGGTCAATCCCAAACCTCAAGGTTCTAATAACTTTTTTTCTTTTTATTTTGTTACATTAAAAACCCACTAACATGTTTCCCACATAACCACATCAACCCATCTTGGCATCACTACTAGCATGCATTTTAGCACAGTATTCAAATAAGCTCCCATCATAGCATCTTCTAACAGCTTCTTTAGATAAGAAACCTTCCTCATCCCTAGCCAGAATGTACAGAACCCCCCATTCAAGTTTACCTGCGACCCTGCAAACACATATTACATAGGTTTTACTATCATGTAACGTTGTAAGTGGAACGTGGGACCTTTGTTTTATCATATAAGTTTTTAAAGCTTGATAGTATTAAATTTTGCTTATTGATACAGATATTTTTATTGCCGTTGAATGCGTACTAAACTATTATATATGTATGTCACCATTTCATTTACAACATAATTGTCCAAATAAATCAATTAACAATAAAGTAGCATCTACTCACCAGCCAAATGGATCAAATGCATTTCGGTTTCCCTCAGTCATGTCCCACAGCTCTCCAAGTGTGAGTTTGTCAGGGACTGTACGAGCATACTTGCTAAAAATGTTCTCAAGATTTGATGGCACATAACTGTGATTTCATTTCATTAAGGAGGGTCATTGTCATTATAGTTATACCATAGATTGTTGTGATGCATTATTAATTAATTATTCATTAGCATCACTTACCGTCCTTCTGTGTCATAAACTCCAGAGTCACTTCCATGCTTTATTTTGTGTACGTTGTTTATGTAGATAGGAAAAAGGAAAGAAGGGAACCAATTCTGTAAAATTAAAATTCTAAGTTAAGGATTATCTTGGATATATTATATAATATTTTATCATGTATTTTTTTTTTAGTGTGATCTAATGACAAGGAAAAACTCTTAAGATAACTCGCCCTGAAAAATCCAATTGTAAAAAGACAACAATGACACATGCTATCTGCCAATTTTACTAATCCCCTATTCCCAGTTTGGTTTTGGCATCAAATGCCTCAAGGAGGATGGGAATGAATTTTGCTTTTTCAAGGTGCTAGTGCAATTACTTTAAAGAGTAACTGTTGCTTGCATAGTTGATTCAAAATTTATAAATCAACAAGCAAGTGCACATGTTCTTACTATGTTCATAGCTAATGTATTGTTAGGCATTCATAAGCTAGTCCATGTGGGAAATATGAGCCCTAGAAGAGGGAATTTGGTTCTAACAATTGAGTAAACTGTCAGTGCTACTGTAGTGGCTAATCCTTTGCAGATACCTTTCTTTATTTAGTAACTTTTTTCTTATTTAAATTTTTAAAAAAATTAAATTAAGAAAAAATAATCATATAAAGTGATTGTTGTTATTTGAAGAGTAGAAATATGTACAACAGGAATATTGAAAAATTTTCCTTAACAACCTTGCTTAAGTGGGAAGGAGGATAAGAGGGAGAAGAAAAAGGTTAAAAGAAGGATAAAAAGGAGAGAGATGAAGGAGAAGGTAGGCAACAATTTAGATGGCTTTTGTCATAGGGAAGAGAAGAGAAGAGAAGAGAAGGATTCCTTTGTTTGTTTGCATTATCATTTTCTATACTTTTTACATATTAATTAGCCTTGTAAGTACTGTTCTGGGGGTATTTCCTTTATTATTCTGTTGTAAATTCAGTTCATATATCATAATACCTAAACCTTCATAATGCAAAATATGGTCAAGGGCTGAACCCCAAGGCAATGTATACGACATAGTTGCATTTTTGTCGCTAAGGCAAAAATAAAAATCAAGAATGACTCACAGGCTGAGTGGGATAACTCAATGCAACATTGATACCAATGGCCATAATAACAGATGCAATAACATTAAATCCAATAGCACGCAGCCCTGAAAATTTCTCAAGGTCAGGGTCATATCCTTGGAAGCCTCACTATAAAGATTAAAGAAATTTAGATAAGATAATAAAGAATGAGAACCCTTTTGGAAATCAAAACTCTTACCCATATAAGTTTCCCATGGGTAAACAATTCCATTGTCATCTTGATCAAAAAAAGCACAATGCTGCTGAAGAACAGACAAGTTGCAGTGCCTGTGACCTGGTGTTCCATGGGGGTGGATTGTATCAGGAGCTTCCAATGCTCTAGGCATGTCTGAGCACGTCACATGAAAAAAAATGGTTTTGTTACAGAATAATACGAAATTCAAATCTAAAATTTTGTAAACAACCCATTTAGTGGAAGGTACTTCTTCTGCTTTGTGTGTTTTGGATCATTCAAAATGCAGTAGTTTCCTTAATATCTGATTAGATATCGAGGAGACAATTGCATATTCCAATAATTTAAAACAAATCAATACTGACTTTGTAAGTATAGAGGAAAGCAAAGTAATAGATAATCTAATATGAAAAAAATTCAAAAAAGTGTTCATGGCATATTGACATGTGCATAGGTAGTACTATTACTACAGGGGCACAAAGAACTATAGAATAACAAACTAATGCAGAAAAATAATGACGGAATATTACTAGAATCTGCAAAAAATTAGTATGATCATTTCTCTCTCTCTCGGGGTTAAACTAGAAAGTTTCACTTAGCTTTAAGTCAATGGAATTCAAGGATTGAAACTTACAGGGCTTGGGAATAAATTTTTCCAAGTCATTTCTGACCCTTCTCTGAGCAGTAACGGGTGGATTATGAGCCTCAGTTATCAAAGCCTCCCTCTCCTTCTCTACAGTCATATTTGACATGTTTCTCTCTTTCAATTCTCACTCTAATATATATATCTTTTCGAGTTTTCTTTTCAACTTCTCACTTCTCCTTTTGTAGAGGAATAGCATTAAACATAACAAAGAGCAAATATAACTTCGTGGATGTGAATAAGAGGCTGTGAGAGAGAGAGAGAGAGAAATAGATGGACACAGCAGAGAGAGCCAGCAAAGTTCCACCAAGTTTACGTGGCAAACATGCACCAATTTACTGTGCATATTGTGCCAAGTTAGGATATGATGCATGTTGGCATGTAATTGCTTCGTCGGTTCCTTGTCATCACTCTCTAACATATCAATATACCATCCCAAAAATAAATGCCTAGTTCCACTCTCCATGCCAATGATTGTCGGACGATAAAAGTGTTGAAAAAATAATGAATTCAATGCAATCACATACATAAAAAAAAAATATATTGGATGGCTGGATATATTGTTTAAAGTAATTAAGATTACCAATATCATTACCAATGTTATTGTTTTAACTTAAACAAAGACCTTCAATTCAAGTTTTAAATATATAATTATGTTAAACATTAAAAAAATTATAATAACCCTGTCTTCTTTAAACAGGAATGAGTGTATTAAAAGAGGTTTGAAATAGTTTTTGAAATAATGAGATTTCCATTAGTGATAGCTACACTTAGATCTTAGCTAATTTATTAGTGACATTTTCATTAAATCATTTAATTTAACATATATATTATCTGTAAATAATCATATCACTAATGGAATTTAAATTATATCACTACTGGATAAGGATTTAAGTGACATTTATTTATTTCTCACGTATTTGATTAATTCAAATCCAATTCAGATATTAGCTGTAAATAATTCATAATAAACTAGTTAGTAACATGCGTAACATATAAGTATTTTATTTTAAAATAAATAAATATATTTTAATAATTTAAGAATATTGTTTTATAAATAATCATATGTATATATATAATAAAATTATTTTAAAAAATACTTTTCTAAAAAAATTTAAAAATTATTTTAATATAATTTTATAACCATATAATGATTTTTTTTTATAAATATAAACATAAGTGTTCATAAAAATCTAATAATTTATATAGGATAATAAAAAAATAAATTAATGATAATTTATATATAATTTTAAAATTTTAAAAAATAGATAAAAATTAAGTAAAAAAGAATATATTCTATATATTATTTTCAGTAAATTTTAATTATAATGAATATACATGACTAAATATATAAAAAAAAATAGTTTTATTAAATATTTTAGAGTATTTTCATTTATAATATATATTTTTTATTTTATTTTTTACTAATAAAAGGGGCTAAAAAGCTTAAAAGAAACTACACAGAGCTCTTAAAAGATCCTATGCCTAGAACATCAAGGCACAAAAAAAGAAGCAAGGTGGTAGGAGCCACATCAAAATAAGAGGAATGCAAAGATTCTTCTATGCCTAATTTGTAACACTTTAATTTAATTTTTAAAATAAATAAATAAATGAATTTCACCAAGACGGGAATAATAAAAATTTTCATTAAAAGGGTTTCCAGTTCATGGTTCAATAAAGTATTTTTAAAATAAGGGAGGGTTACAAGTTTGCATCAAATAAGTGCTACATGACCAAATTAAATACATTAAATTTTCACAAATAATTTCTAACTCTTATAGCAATTTCATTCCTCCCGTTCACTAAGTCCGGTGCTGATCGTCTTGGTAACTAGAAAAATAAATGTAAGGGTGAGTACTCTACACTATCACACACACATATACAAGCATAGAATCTCACCTTGCAGTACACATTTCACAATACGATGAAATTACATTAAATAAGCATCAATTCACACACACACATAGGTGTGCTTACTGCACCATCAATCATTTCACCCAAATACGTGCGCTCACAGTATGTTAGTCACGCTCACTATGGTACTGTGATCACAGTTTTTCTGATGCCCTCAACCTCAGGGACTTACTCAATTCACACTATAGATGATCGTCGGATAGCTCCCACCCCATGGATACAACATATGCGGTACTGAGTCCCCTAAGCAAAGGTGTTAGTCAGAAGCTGAGTCAAGAGGAGAGTGTGTGGTCTGTGGTGCACCTACGCTCACTGTTGATGTCACCACCACACTCTCTTTCCCAAAGTATTTCTAACGCTCCCATTTTTCGCACTCTTAGTGTATCACTGAACCATTCATAGTTTTTCAACCACAATCACACTCAGCATGTCATTCACATATATTTCACTCATTTCATAATATCCAATATCAATCAACAGCATGTCTGAACAGTTCAATCATATTCTCAATCACATCACTTTCAAACACACAACATTTCCAACATAATTCTGATTACAATCAAACCATTCTCAACACACGCATTATTCAACATCACCACATTGTAGCCAACCACATAATTTCCATAACATTTCCTCATAAATCATGTTCAACACGAAATATACATCAAAACACACATCTTTCTACATTTTATCCTAATCATATCACAACACATAGTCAAATAAACGGATTCAAAGTACAATGAGATAGGGTAGAGTCCCCCTATACCTTAAAATGAAGACCCAACATGAGTTAATAGCAGGAAACGTTCCCTACATGATGCTTCGTCCCTACAAACATCCCAAACACCACCCCAACCTTCAATCTTACTCACAAACGACTTTGTAGGCAATTTAATCGGGGAAATAGGGTTGAGAATCGAGAGGATCGAAAGAGAAATGAAAGAAAGGGTAGGAAATGCAGTTCCTTACCCCTTAAATACCCTTCTGGTCACGACACTCTCGCTACAGCGAGGAAACCTCACTGCAGCAACACCTCCTCTTGCTATAGTAAAAATCTCAGAAGAAACTGCACTTTGGTTTCTGCAGAATCTTGCTACAACGAGACCTTCTCGCTACAGCGAGATTGCAACCCAAAAATGCACCCCTCTCTGTTGCCTTCTCGCTAAACTTATCCTATTTTCAATCCAATTCCAATCATACTCAAGAATTTCAATTCAACCACAAACCAACATATACACTTATACTCACAGACTTATCCATATATAATTCTACACACATATTCACATCATCATCATATAAATCAAATGTAACAACATATAGCAATCCATATATATTTATATTAATAAACCAATATATATATATATATATATATATATATATAGTTACAAAATCTGGGGTGTTACATAGTTTGGTTAGGCTATCCGCACAATGGTTAGCCTCCCTACTAATATGGCTTAATCTAATAGACTTAATACCACTAATCAAACTCCTAATTTCTTGAATCACCTCATTCAAAAGGTGGGAATGAGATTGAACACTTTGGATGAGCCCAGCAGCCTGTTTACAATCACTTTTGATCCAAACTAATTGATAATGTCTGTTTAGGACCAACTGAACTCCATAATAGATGCTTCATAGCTCAACTTCTATAAGAGAGCAAGGGATGATTTTCTTACTAAAACCAGATAAAAACTGCCCTTTGCTATCACGAACTAAGCTTCCACAAGCAGCTTCACCATTTAATTTAGACACAACTCCATCCACATTAAGCTTCACTTGTCCAAGAGGAGGAGATATCCATTTAACACAATTATGATCATAGACCAATTGCTGTAATTGTCTCAAATTTGCCCTGTAGCAGGAAGATATATGATTAATTTCATATAACATTTTTTGAATAAGGTAGGTAGGTTGGATAGACATGTTTTGAAACACAAAATTATTCCTATTTTTCCAAAGATACCAAACAATAATCCCAAACACAGTATGCCACTCAGAGATCAAGCTATAATTATTTCTGGATAAGTTAAAGGCCAACCAATTTAAGTGCCTTTACTAAAGAAAGGCACCCATTGCTGAGGAAAAATAAAGTGTTTCCAAACAGTTTTCACATAATAACAGTCCCTAAGGACATGCATGATAGTTTTGGGTGCCTTGCCCGCATCTAGGGCAAAAAAGGGAACTAGTCATGTTTCTCTTACACCTTTCTACATTGGCTAAAATTTTCTCATGTTTCGGCCTCCAGAGAAATAAAGATATCGTAAGAGGTTATCCCAACTCCAGATCATTTTAAAAATCTCTTGAATATAAGTAGGAGTAGGATCAAGTTTGTAAAGCAAAAAATAAGCAGACTTAACAGTGAAATTGCCATTACTAGTCTTATTCCAAAAGGCTGAGTCCTGGCATATCCAAATCAGTTTTAGAAACAGGAACACTAGAAAAATCAGATAACTTGAAAAATTGAGAAACTCAATTGTCTGTCCAGAATTTAACAGTCAGTCCATCCCCAAGTTCCAACTTAAACCCTGATTAAAGATAGGCCAAACAAAAACTAAATCCTTCCAAACATGAGAAAACTGGTAACTTTTACTATGGCTAGGATCTTTGCCAACCCTAAATTTATATTTGCTACAAAGGACTTGTCCCTATAAGGAACTGGAAGAAGTAATTAATCTCCACCACAATTTTATAAGATAGGCTTTATTCAGCAACTTGAGATGCCTAAAACCTAGACCACCCTCAAATTTAGGCATGCAAATTTTCTGCCACCTATTAAGTGACACTTTTTACCACCTAAGACACCTCAAATAAATTGTTTGCAAATGCTATTTAATTCATTACAGGCTGAACTAGGAATACTCATAGTTTGCATCACATAAGGGTAATAAACGAAAGATTTGTTGTGAATCCTCATCAAAATATAAATATAAATTAATATAATACTAGGGTACTAACTTAGATCGTCTCCCATGAATCATTGGATGAGTAATCAAATATCAAACATATAGTGTGCATTGTATTCATAAAGCAAGTAAAAATGGAGGTTTTGTGATTTCAAGTTCAATCTACTTAAGCAGAAAATTAAATTATAAAGTTCAATCAATAAAATATAGTAACCCCTAGTTCATTTATGTAGATTATATTCCTATTCCTCTCAAGATTTAATACTTTTTCTCTCTTCCTAGAATTAGGTTA